AACTGAAGAGACCTTGCAGGGTCTCTTGGAGAACGGCTACAACACGTTTGGTCGTTTGGCATTCGCGGTTTCGGCTACCCCTACGACACTGACCGACGAGGCAGTCGACGCCCGGATTGGGGGTTTGGGGATTCGTCCTTCAGGGTTCCAGAAGGCCAGTTTGCGCAGGCTCCTCTTTGATGGTGTCAGCATGGCAATTGAGGAGGTTAAGGCGCGCATTGAACCTGGTTTGGAGGGACATCCCAAGAAGCTCGCTTCAGCCGAGCGCCTTGACCGACAGGCGCGTCAGGAGAAATCTTTAGGTGGCTTGGTGTTCACGCCCGAGACTCGCCCGGCCAACTCGTGTGTGGACCATTGCGTTGAAATGCTTGAGACCGGGGTTCTTCAATACCATGTACCTAGCAAGTGGATAAGTAGGGCGCAGGAGGCACAGTGCTTGAAGCGTGACAGCAGCATCAACATTGATTCCGACAACAACTTGAAGATTGCAACCAAGGCAACCGATTTGTCATGTGATGTTTCATCCGAGATGCGTTTGAGGCAGGCCTGGAGTCGGAGGTCGCTTGCCTTCGACCTTGCAAACGTAGCCAGCTTCAAGGTTATGGAAGAGCATGTGTAGTTCCTGTTTTCTGTTTTGCAGCGAACGCAACCCCAGGGTTTCATGAGCATCCAGCTGTCACAAATCATCGAAGCTGACAAGCAGATGTTTATTTTGGCAAGCAACAACCTGATGGGAAGGCTTACGTCTTCGGCAGGTGCGGCGCCGGCCCTTGACAGTGAAATAACTCGTTTGTCCAGAAGCCCTGACATCATGCAATATTTGGCTCCTTTGCAAAACCCTCCTACGGTTCAACAGCCGTGGAAGCCTGATGGAAAAGGGGGCCGGAAGGGTAAGGACAAGGACGGCAAGGGCAACAAGGGTGCAGCGCGTACCCCTCTGGAGTTGCCACAGGGTTGTGTGACTAAGGATGACTCGAACCAGCCTCTTTGCTTCGCTTTCAATACGCATGGCTGTAAGAATCAGTGGAAGAAGGGCAGGTGCATGAAGGGCTTCCACAAGTGTTGGAAGAAAGGATGTTTCGGCAATCATTCTTATAAGAACTGCCCCAAGGCTGGGGCTTGAGACACCCCGCCAGAGGGTGCGCCGACCTCTGGGGGAGTGCTGCAAGGCGCGTTGCAGACCGGTGAATCGTGTGTTAGTGGCCCAGAAGGCTGGGCTCAAGCGAGGTTAGGATCAGCTAAGCCCGTGACCGAGGCAGACCTTGCAACCCTCTTTGAAATGCTCCCAGAGCGGGAGATTCGGAGAGGCCCTCGGAATGTAAAGACCGCCTTCCTGGTAGGCTGTTATGCTCAGGGGTTTCCGGGGATTGCGCAAGGAGTGTACTGAATTTCCTTTTGCATGCCAGCTCGTGACCCGCTTTGTTCAGGAGCGTCTTCCTGGTCATGTTTTCTCCAGTTGCGGCATTTTCTCCGATTCAGCTACGCCGCTCCACAAAGATGAAAGAAACGCACATTGGCCCAATGCAGTTTTCCGTTTAACTAGTTTCAAGGGGGGTGGACTTTGGATTGAGGGTGCCGGCAGCGACATTCGTGTGTGCAACAACGCCGAACTGAGTGGTTGTGTGCACGAACTTGGCAGCGAGCCATTAATATTTGATGCATACTCGCGGTACCACCAGACGGAGCCGTGGACAGGACATAGGCTTGTGCTTGTCACTTGGGTGGTGCAACAACTCACCACCTTTGAGAAAGGCGATGTTGCCGCAGCCCAGCATTTGGGCTTCGTGCTGCCCCCTGAAGTTCCTCGTGCGTTGCAAACTTCTGAGGCTTCCTCGAAGCCTCCACTTGTTCTTGAACTGTTTGCAGGCAAGGGTGCTTTGTCCCGAGCGCTGAGGCAGCTAGGCTTTGAGGTGCACAGCTTTGATCATCATCATTGTGATGCCCAAGTGCCCATGCTGCAACTCGACCTGGCGAGTGACAGTGGGCAGGCCTGGTTCTGGGATTTCTTGGCAAAGCATCGGCCTTTTGCAATTCACATGGGAGTGCCGTGTGGGACCAGCAGCAAGGCGCGGGGCAGACCGCTCCGTAACGGGGCTTTAGGGCCTCAACCTCTTAGAAGTAAGGCTTTCCCTCTGGGTTTACCTTCGCTAAACTGGCAATCAGCTGACGGTCAGAGAGTTGTGACCGCAAACAAGCTGTACTCCTTTGCATATCGCATCTTGGATTTCTGTAGGACCAACAACATTATTGCTTGCATCGAGAATCCTGCGAACAGCCATTTGTGGGACATCTTGCAGGCTTTCGAACCCCAGGCCAAGGGCCAGAGTTTCTTGTCGGGTTTTTCTGAGGTTATCTTTGATCAGTGTTGCCATGGAGGTTTCCGTCCGAAAAGAACCAAGCTTCTTTGCACACATGGTTGCTTCGAATCATTGAGGGCCTCTTGCCCCGGCAATCACATGCACAAACCTTGGGGGCAGCTCATTGAATACGGCAGTGTCCGCTTTGCCACGCGCGATGAAGCGGCGTACCCAGCCATTTTGGCCGGGAGGTACGCTCGTTGCTTGGCCAGCCAAGCACTTGCACTAGGGTTCGCTCTTGTGCCTCGGCCCTCAACTAAGGATCAGTCTTTGGCATTCTTGGGCAAACAAAACAAGCGACACCCTCCCCTTGTGTCCGAGTTTGCTTCAGTGCATTGGCAGCCAGCAAAGAGTTTTGTGCCCAAGCCCAACTTGAAGCTTTTGCGCTCATCTAGAGGGGGTCAGGTGCTGCTGCAAGCTTCAAAGCCGGAATCCCAACTCGACCCCCGTAGCACCCCTTCGAGGGGTACCACCTCGGAGGCCGTAAATCCTTGCAGCCAGCCGGCATCTGTTTCGGATCAGAACTTTGACGACCTTGTTCAGGTTGGGGTTTTAAGGAGTCCTGAGGAGTTCGTTGAGTCAGCCAAGAAGGTTAAACACCCGGTGGATTCGGCAAACCCTCTTCTCGATGTGACCCTTCGTGCTCTTGAGGAGAATCTTACTAAGGACCCCAAATTGATTTCCCTCAAGAGAAACCTTGCCATTGCAAAAGTGAAGCAGGAAGTTGCTCGCTACCGAGACAAGGAGCTGCAGCTGCACAATTCAATGCACCCAGCAGTCGCCAAGGTTATGAAGGGCAAGAACGTTCTTGCTTTGGAGTCTCTTTCGCAATCTGAGGGCTATGATGACATGGGTGCCATGGCTTTTCTCAAGGAAGGGGTTCGTTTGGTGGGCACGTCTGAGTGCCCCGAGTGCTTCGACCGCAAGATCGTACCTGCCCAACTCACCGAGGGTGAACTCCTTGAGACAGCTGCAGAAAGGCGCGAGGCCTTGTTGCAGAAGTTTGAAAAGGTTGAACCTCGAGAAGCTGAAGCTCTGAAAGAGGCCACCGATGGCGAGGTGGCTCATGGATTTCTTGAGGGCCCATATTATGATAAGCACGGGGTGTCAGCCAAACTGGGAACTGATCAATGGACCATTATAAGAAGATTCGTTCTTTTCCAAGGAGCTGAGCAAAAGGCGCGGCCGATTGACAATTGCTTGGAATCGCAGCTGAATGCAGGGTACTCTGCTAGCATTCACTTGCGTCTGCAGGACTCTGACTACATTGCATCGATGGCTCTGCATGTTGCAAAGGCGATCAGCGAGGGCCGAGCACATTCCAAGGCGGCCCATTGGAAGGGCAAGTGCTTAGACTTAAGCAAGGCTTACAAGCAATTGGCGGTGTATCCTCAGCATCGTCCTCTGGCGGTCATTGCAGTGAGAGGGGCAGATGGGCGAGATGCGCTTTACCTGTCCAACAGCTTGATGTTTGGGAGCACAGCAGCGGTTTATGCGTTTAATCGCATAAGCCGTTGCATTTGGTTCTTGATCAACCGTCTGCTGTGGATACCTGCTGGGGTCTTTTATGATGACTTTCCTCTTCTGAGTCCAGCAGAAAGTTCTGACAATGCCGATGCGGTTGTCAGTGCATTTTTGGACGAGTTGGGATGGCTCCATGCGAAAACAGGGGCAAAGGGTAAGCCCTTTGCCGAGGAGTTTGATGTTCTTGGAATGTCGTTGCAGCTCTCGAGTTTTGGTCAGGGCAAAGTTGTGTTGGCCAACAAGCAAGGGCGGATTGAAAGGATCATAGAGCGCATGCAAGAGATTGCAGCCAAGGGCGAGATTCGACGACACGAAGCGCAGGTCCTGCAAGGCTTGCTTCAGTATGCATCTGGCTTTTACTCGGGGCGAGCTTTGAAACACGCTTCGCATGTTTTGGCCAAGATTTCCAGTGGTTTACATTTTGGACCCAAGGACCTCAGTGACTTTTGTCTGCATACGGAAAGCCTTCTTCGTGATGAATCACCGCGCATCTTGAGCAGCTCCATGATTACGGACGTTGTGCATCTGTGGACAGATGGAGCTTGGGAATCTGGTACCGCAGGTGTGGGAGTAGCTGTTCACGACTGCTTTGCAGGCATGGGCTGGGTCTATGAGGGCCAAGTGCCTGCTAAGGTCCTCGACAAGTGGAGAACTGAGGTGGGCGAGCAGCTCATTTGTGAAATTGAGATGTTTGCAGTCCTTGCAACGATGCTTGAGCTCAACACCTTTTTGTCTGCCAGACGCGTGATATGGTGGATAGATAATGATGCTACCAGAGCAGTCATCATAAAGGGAGCCAGTCGAAGCTGGGCTATGCATGAGCTTGCTCGACTGTTTTCTGAACTCGACAGTCAATACCCATCTATGTGGTGGGTGTGCCGAGTGCCTTCGTTCTCGAATCCTGGAGATGCGCCGTCCAGAGGTCATGGCAGCGAGGCCATGACGGCGGTGGGGGCATCAAAAGTTCAGCAGTTCAGCATGCTAGATGAGTTGTCCGAGCGTCTCTGCGCCTTCAAGAGAGCCTCAGTGATCAGGGGCGTCGGGGCTTCTTGAAGGTCTTAAAGACCGGTAGAATTCTGAGACACGTGTGGCCCTCGCAGACCCCCGATCGCTGGCGAAAGAAACGAAGGTTTGAGCGCGGTGAGCATACGTCGATTGTGAGTTGAGGAAGTTTTATAATTTCATACGATCTCTAAGAGATCAACGCATATTCTTTGTGAACAATCATTTATAATAGATTCTGTGTGGGGAAATAAGATTTACCCCAATAGATGAGGAAAGAGTTGAGCTAGAAAACCCCCAGTCCCAGAAAGAAGGGCGTTTTCGACGTGTCGACTAGACATTCTTTCCCTTGGGGCTGGGAAGCACGCAGTGCGTGCGGGTTTTCAAATGCTCATGATGCAAGCTAACTAATAGTTTCTTACATGAGTTTTTAAAACAGCCTTTCATGAGAGTTTTTCATGAATGAGTATTCATGTGAGATTTAAAGAAAATTTTCCTGTGCCGAACGTGATTGAATGTTTTGGGCTGCGCGTGTCTCAAGCTTTGGGCGAGAAAATTTTCTTGCCCACCCATCCCACCCTTTTTTGGGGGGGCGTCGGGGCTTCTTGAAGGTCT